CGCGCCCCTCAGCTTGTCTCCCCCAGACCTGGACCCTCATCTTGTCCCCCCCAGACCTGGACCCTCATCTTGTCTCCCCCAAACCTGGACCCCCATCTTTTCCCCCCCAGACCTTCCCTCACAGACCTGATCCTGATCTTCTCTCCCCCAGCCCTGACCCTACCCCAGCCCTTCCATCCTTCACCCCAGCCTGAAACCTTGCCCTGTGACCCAAGAGAAGAAAGGATCAGACACTGCCCCTTCCCACCAGGGAATGGAAAAGCTCAAGGACAGGAAGAGATATGACATAACCCTCCAAATATGAGCTGGGACAGGAAAAGCCTCTCTCTGAGCAGACATATAAACCAAGTGGTTTATGGTGATGGAAAATCTCATCCTATATTACTTATCTGCAGCATTTCCAGGCTGGGGGATGGAGGGATCTGTGTTGTCCAATAAAAATAAACTCAGCTCAAGGGCTATCGTGTTGCTTTTAAAAGAGTGTGAACTCCCTGCCTGCCAGATTTGAGGAAGCAAGAGCAAATTGGAGCCCAAGTCCATGTGCACAGCCCCCCAGAGCTGGAGCCCTGGCAAAATGAAGTCAGATGTTGTCTTAGACCTGCTGGTTTTCCACCTTAAATCTCAGCAGCCTCTGGGAACTGAGCACTAAAGGGGCTCTGAGGCACTTTCTGACTGATGGATTTGAGCTGGTCTGGCTGTCCCTGGCAGTGGGAACACAGAGTTCCCTGTTAGGGAGAACTAATGGCAGGGGTTTGGTGATGGGTTAACCAGGCACAGGTTCCCCCTGAAGCCCTGGCAAGAGGGAAGCAGGAAGGAACTGCTCCTGTTCCAGCCCAGGTTCCAGCCCAGCACGTGAATGGACACATCTCCTGGCTGCAAAACCAGTTTGCAGAGTCAGATCCATTTGGGAATGGTGGAAGTTGGTACAAATGACTGTGGGGAAGCACCAGGGGAAGGAGCAGTTTCATCCAGAAGCTCTGGGCATCATCCTGGAGCAGGTTTGTTGGGAGCACAGCCTGAGGGGGGGGGAAGCAGCTCCAGGGCAAACTGAAATACCCTGCACTGAAAAGCTCAGGGGGACATTTCATACAGTCAGGGAATGGGTTGGGTGGGAAGGGACCTGAAAGCTCATCCAGATCCAACCCCCTGCATGGCAGGGACACCTCCCACCAGCCCAGGCTGCTCCAAGCCCCATCCAACCTGCCCTTCAACACCCCCAGGGATGGGGCAGCCACAGCTTCCCTGGGCAACCTGGGCCAGGCTCTCACCACCCTCACACCAAAGAATTCCCTCCTCATCTCCAACCTCCATCTCCCTCTCCCAGTTTTTAGCCCTCAGAAGGGGGTGCTCAGCACCCTGGTACCAGGCAACACGAATGCACTGAACTCCCAGATGTGTTGTCCAGGTTTTCCTGAACTCCAAACACTTTCCAGAGTCCTGGAAGTTCACAGCTCCATGTTCCCTGCTACAGATCATGTGCAGAGAAGGGCAGAAGGTGAACCCAGAGATTGCAGATGTTTTCTCTTCCAACCTCTTGTATGTGTGGCACTTGCCCAGCAGTTCTGTGCTTGTAGCTCCAGTGGTGACTTGCAAACAGGATTCCAGCAATGCCAGGTTGTTCCCTGGTAGGTGGGCACTCTGGGATGCCATGGCTGAGTTTTGGCAGGCAGTGGCTTCATCCTGGCTCAAACCAGGACATCTGGGACAACTTAGGGCATCACCTGCCTTGAAAGCTGGGTATCCTAAGCACCTTGCTGACCACACAGACATGAAGGGTGTGAATGAAATGGTGGGATCAGACAGAAGGGGGTTTAATCCATCTCCTTCCCAGCTCTTCCCTCCTGGACCCCAGGTCCTGCCCTTGCAGGGAGCCCCTCTGCACCCTCAGCAGCTGGAGTCTCTGTCCTGGAACTAATGGAATTGCTGCAGAGGAGCAGAGATTGTCCTTGTCAGGGCATGTTCCTTGGCCTGTCACAGTGAATCAGCACCAAAGATGTTCAACCAGATGTTTCCTTCATGCCTTGTAAGGCTGAGGAGGGATTTGCTGCATTTATTTGCCTGGGAGGAAGGGAGACCAGGAACCTGTTCTTGAGCATCCCCCCCTTTCACAACCAAAAGGCTTTATTCTGTCTAGTTTCTCCCCTCTTCTCCCTTTCTCCTGGGCAGAGCTTTCCAGCCCTCATCCCATCCCTCCCTGCCCTTGTCCCAAGTCCCTCCCCAGCTTTCCTGGAGCCCCTTCAGGCCCTGGAAGGTGCTCTAAGGTCTCCCTGGAGCCTTCTCTTCTCCAGGCTGAACACCCCAACTCTCCCAGCCTGTCCCACAGCAGAGCTGCTCCAGCCCTCAGATCACCCAGCCCATGCCTTCATCCATACATCACTCCCAAGAGCTGCCAGGAGATTGGGAAACTGACTTTTTACACCCATTTCTCCTAAGCCTGTTGACTCAGGCTCCTGGTACATTCATTCCTTCAGCCTCCCAGCTCATGTCACTGACCACATGTGGAGCTGAAGCCCCCACACAGCACCAACCAGCCCCCAATTCCCCAACGTGTTCAACTCATTACTCAGCCTCCAGTGCTTGGCTCATGGAAAAGCAGAGCCCTCCTTTGATGATTCACATCTGAGGCATCTCAGAGTGAAGTGACCTCTGTCTAGACTCTCCAGCATCTTTCCTTCCAGGGCTGTGTTTTAAGGCTTCACTGTGGCTTTGGGGAAGCCACATCTGCCAAAGCCATCACTGCTGTTCCATGAGCTCCTCTCATTCCCTGAGGAACAACAGGGTCATTGAGAGAGGAAACCTGGGAGCCCTCTGGAAAGCCTCATCTCCCTCCTTAGCCAAAATTGAGGTCATGGCAAGGAGAGGTTCAGCTGTCATTCCATAGAATGGGTGGGAAGGGACCTGAAAGCTCATCCAGATCCAACCCCCTGCATGGGCAGGGACACCTCCCACCAGCTCAGGCTGCTCCAAGCCCCATCCAACCTGCCCTTCAACACCCCCAGGGATGGGGCAGCCACAGCTTCCCTGCCCAACCTGGTCCAGGATCATCAGTGTATTTCTCTTCCAGGGCTAAACCAGAACCTTTGGTGTTGATATTATAGAATCATGGACTATTTTGGGTTGGAAAAGACCTGAAAGCTCATCCAGATCCAACCCCCTGCATGGGCAGGGACACCTCCCACCAGCCCAGGCTGCTCCAAGCCCCATCCAACCTGCCCTTCAACACCCCCAGGGATGGGGCAGCCACAACCTCTCTGTTCCAGTGTCTGTATTTGCACCCCTGCAAGAGGAGCCTCCCATGGGGGTGTGGGATGCTGCCTGCTCACCCATCCTAGTCCTTCCTAAAGCCTCAGCAGGACCACAAAAGGTTTGGCTGAGCACATTGTCCTCCCTCTCTGCAGCATCCTGCCCTGCATGAGCCTCCAGTGGAACAAACTGGTGGAACAAAATACTGGGAGACCCTTTCTGAACCAGCAGCTGTGAAGGAGCTGCTCAAACCATTTTCTTTTCAAGTGAGAAAGGCAGCTGGATCCATTGTTTCAAACCATGAACAAAGCCAAGAGCCAGCCATGGAAACCTCCCTGTGGGATGTGGCACATCCTGGATTCCCTGCCTGCTTCCAATGGGATCTGACTGTGCTCACTGGGGAAGCTCTGGGGTATAAACTGGGACCAAGAGCAACCACTGAATTTACATCCTGAAACACCAGAGCATCCCAAGCAAGGGAGATGTTCACCCAGTCCCCACAAATACTTTCCAGCTTGAAAAGCTAAAGGTGAAGAAAGGAAGCACATTGGGGTTTTTTTTCCTTCCAAGAAAGGAGATTTCCAGGCACAGAAAGGGCTCAACTTCTTCCCAGCCCAGCATCCCCCTGGTTCCTTCTTCTGCAGAAATCCCTGGGAGGTGATTCAATCTCTCCTTTCCCAAGTCTCAACCCCAGCCCACCAGTCTAACCCAGTCCCAACCCAGACCCTTTTCTCCAGGGACCAGCCCACGTTTTTCTCTCTTCAGTTCCTCCCAGCACTGACCCCCCAGTCCCACAAATATTTCCATGCAGGTCTCATTGCTCAGCCCAAGGGTGCAAAATCCTCTTGGTATCTTTATCCTTATAAATCCACCCCTCTGAAGTCATGGGTGGATTCACCTCCAGTTCCCACCTGCCTGCTGAGCCCACGGATCCACCAGAGACCTCCAAGCTGCTCCAGGACCCCAAGGGAGGCAACAAGGGAAAGAAAACTGAGCAGTCCTGTGAGCAGAGACACCCAGGGGTAAGATCTAGGGGTGCAGCACATCCTGCCCCTTCAGATCATAGAGTCACAGACTTCTGTGGGTGGGAAGGGACCTTCAAGCTCATCCAGATTCCACCCCCTGCATGGGCAGGGACACCTCCCACCAGCCCAGGCTGCTCCAAGCCCCATCCAACCTGCCCTTCAACACCCCCAGGGATGGGGCAGCCACAGCTTCCCTGGGCAACCTGGGCCAGGCTCTCACCACCCTCACACCAAAGAATTTCTTCCAATTCTGAAAACTGTGCAACAGGTACAACATTTCCTCCCCATTTCTTCTATAAAACCCCTTTCCCAATCCTTACTACACATACAATGCTCCCCACAGATGAAATTCAACTCTCAAAGTTGCCTCTTGGTTGGGATGGTTGGACTCAACTGATCTTGAAGGTCTTTTCCAGCCAAGATAACCCTGAGCTTCTATGATCTTTAACCAGCACCAAGAAGCAACATCAAGAGTTTCCTCTAGTGTCCAGCTGGGACAGGATGTGCAGCAGCAGCCACCCCTGCCCACAGAGAGCTCCTGAGCAGCAGCTTGTGCTTTGAAATGTCTTTACCTCTATCTGGTTGAGCAAGGAGTTGTCAAACTTGAAGCCAGGGATCCTCTTCTCACTGCAGACCACCCCCACGTCCTCACTGTGCTTGCAGTCACTCACTCCCCAGCCATTGGAAGTACAAGCTGCCAGGGTGCTCTCCTTGCCATTGCAGTGGACATTGTCCATCCAAATCTTCCCTGGAGGGGAAAGGAAACAGGGCTGAGACTCAGCAAGAGGAGGAGAAATCCAGATGGGGCTGACAGGAAAAGCAAGTTCAGCTGCTGGACTCTTGTATCAAGGGCAGAGATCCCTGCTAAGAGTGACCTGGAACCACCAGCTCCTTGGAACAGTCAGGAAATCATTCCTTCTGCATTTGAAGCTCCTGCCATCATTTCTCCAGCCCTCACTAACCCTTTTGCAGGAGCCACCTCTGAGGTTGGATTCAATCCTCTTCACTTTTCAAAAGCAGATATTTTTTTAACAAAAGCTTGAACAAGCCACCTCTGGTTGGAACCTCCAGGTACTGGGCTGGCAGGTCCAGTTTTCAAACTCTAATTACCACTTTCCAAACTCTAATTCACATGTCCATCTGCACATGAGCATCTGTGTGTCCATAGATACCTGATATTTAAAAAAACCCAGACCCCTCAGATCTCCCTCCTAAGATAAACAGGCAGGAACCAAGAGGTGCCACCTCCAAACTTCAGGTGATGTTTTCCTGGAGGCACCTGAGGGCAGGAGACCCAACAACATCCCTGAGATTCACCTTCACCAAGTGCCCATTTTCCCTTTGGAAACGTGCTGGGCACATGTTGCTCCCTGCAATTTGGCCCCTCAACTGCAAGGAGCCAATAAGCAATTCCCATATTTTAGGATCCCAGATGCTTTGCTTGTCTGGAGAACATGGACCTTGGACAGAAAGGGCTGCCTGAGCTTCAGAGCCACCAGGAGATCCTGGAGCTGCTTCCCTGGCACGGCCCAGGTTTGTTCCAGGAGGCTCAAGAGGTTCATTTGGTTCATCAGCAGAAGATGAGTCACAGAATGGTTGGGGCTGGAGGGAGCTCTGGAGATCAGCCAGTGCAGGATCCCCTAGAGCAGATCCCACAGGAACACACCCAGGAGGGGCTGGAAGGTCTCCAGGGATGGAGACTCCACAGCCTCCCTGGGCAGCCTGGCCCAGGGCTCTGCCACCCTCACAGCCAAGAAGGATTTTCTCCTCTTCAGCTCAAACCTCCTGGGCTCCAGTTTGTGCCCATGGCCCCTTGTCCTGGCCCTGGACACCCCTGAGCAGAGTCTGGTCCCCCCTCCTGCCACCCCCTGGAGATATTGATCAGCACTGAGGAGATCCCCCCTCAGGCTCCTCTTCTCCAGCTGAGCAGTCCCAGCTCTCCCAGACTTTCCTCACAGCCAGATGCTCCAGCCCCTCAGCATCTCAGTGTCCCTGGGCTGGACTCTCTCCAGCATCTCCTTGGCCTTGAGGAACTGGGGAGCCCATCTGGAGCTCTGTGAGCAGTTCTGGAGCCTCAGGAGAACCTCCCTGACCTGCTGGCCACGCTCCAGCTGGATCTGCCAGGCTTCTCATTGCTCCCCAGCCAGAAAGAGCCTTGAGGTGTGAGGAGGGTACAAATCCCCCTGCCCAGGTTCCTCTGCCTCAGGATTCCCCCAGCCCAGAGAACATCCCCTCCTGTTACATCACTCGAGCATCAGTTTCTGGTTTGTTTTCAAATGCCACAACCTCTTTCTCGCTGGGAAATCTCCTCTCCCACAAGAGCCAAAAATCCACAGCTTGGAACACTCAAGGTTTCACATTTCAGGCCAAGCACTGCTCAGGTCTGCTGGCTGTTGGAAGGGCAAGTTTGGAGGTGTGAGCATTAATGAGTGGAGCTAAGAGACACACAGCAGGTTCAGCCCTCATCCCTCAGGGTGCCAGGCTTCACGGCTGCAGAAACAAGTCCCTGTGGACCAACCCTGAGCTCACAGGATGCCCAGGCAGCTGAAGAATGGACAGAAAATCCATGGTCAGAAGTTCAGAGTCAGAATGAAGCAACCCACTGTCTGTCAATCATTGTAAACACACAACTTCATAAGGCTGCTGGAGTTCCAAGCTCTGGCACTGCATGGAGCAGTGATGATTGGAGAAACATGATTGGAGAAATCATGAGACACTAGGACAGGTCACCTGGGAAGTTGTTCCCTGGAAGATCATCCAGATCCAACCCCCTGCATGGGCAGGGACACCTCCCACCAGCCCAGGCTGCTCCAAGCCCCATCCAACCTGCCCTTCAACACCCCCAGGGATGGGGCAGCCACAGCTTCCCTGGGCAACCTGGGCCAGGCTCTCACCACCCTCACACCAAAGAATTCCCTCCTCAGCTCCAACCTCCAGCTCCCTCTCCCAGTTTTCATCCATTCCTTGGATGTGGCTTCTCCTCTCACTACAAGCCACAAACTGGAGCCCAGGAGGTTTGACCTGAAGGGGAGAAAATCCTTCTTGGCTGTGAGGGTGGCAGAGCCCTGGGCCAGGCTGCCCAGGGAGGCTGTGGAGTCTCCATCCCTGGAGACCTTCCAGCCCCTCCTGGATGTGTTCCTGTGGGATCTGCTCTAGGGGATCCTGCCCTGGCTGATCTCCAGAGCTCCCTTCTAACCCCAACCATTCTGTGACTCATCTTCTGCTGATGAACCAAATGAACCTCTTGAGCCTCCTGGAACAAACCTGGGCCGTGCCAGGGAAGCAGCTCCAGGATCTCCTGGTGGCTCTGAAGCTCAGGCAGCCCTTTCTGTCCAATGCCCATGTTCTCCAGACCCCAACCACTCTGTGACTCTCTCATTGAAGCTGTTTAACCCCATGGGACCCTGCCTGAAAGAGCCCCTGCTTCACCTGGAAGCTACTTCAGTCACCTTTGGAGGAAACACCTCAACATCTCCACCCTAAATTTGCCTTCCAGTCCAAGAACCCTTGGGTCTGCAGCCCCTGGGGGGTCACCTTACCTTCTCCTTTCCCATACTTGGAGCTTGGCAGCCAGGAAACTGCCTCCACGTAGCCCAGCTCCCTGCAGACCACGTGTGCAGCATGGATGGAGAAGTCATCATCACAGATGGTGCCCCACTCCCCACTGTAGAAAACCTCCACCCTGCCCTCGTTGTGCTTCCTCTTCTGCCCCGCCAGGCGCAGCTGGATCTTGGGGACATTGGCTGCTCTCTCAGGGGGCTGGTACACCTGGGGGGGTGGCTCGGGGAGGTAGGGCCAGTGTTCATACTGGGCAAGGCTCAGGGAGATGGACAACAGCAGGATCCAGCAGTGGTTCTGGGTGAAAACCAGGAATGGGGCCATTTCCAGTGCTCCCAGTTCTCGGAGGTGAAGTCGCTGGTGGAAGGTGCCAGTCAGTGCAGGTGGGGCTGGCCTGGAAGGAAAGGGAAGCTTGAGTCAGGCCTTGGGAACAACCTGGGCTTCCTACCCCCTTCTTCAGCAGGGGACAGAGCCACGGGACAGCCCATGGAGCCTGTAAAAAGCAAAGGAAGTTGTTTCTTCAGGGGGGTGGGAGAAGAAACTGGGAAAAAAAAAACCCACCCATGAAAACCAGTTGTAAGTTCTGGGCATCTTGTTAAAGAGTTGTAGCAGGAAAACTTGTCCAGAGTTAAATCTGGAAGATAAAATTAGCTGAAGGGGCTCCAGGAAAGCTGGGGAGGGACTTGGGACAAGGGGAGGGAGGGATGGGATGAGGGGGATGGATGAAAAGTGGGAGAGGGAGCTGGAGGTTGGAGATGAGGAGGGAATTCTTTGGTGTGAGGGTGGTGAGAGCCTGGCCCAGGTTGCCCAGGGAAGCTGTGGCTGCCCCATCCCTGGGGGTGTTGAAGGGCAGGTTGGATGGGGCTTGGAGCAGCCTGGGCTGGTGGGAGGTGTCCCTGCCCATGCAGGGGGGTGGATCTGGATGAGCTTTCAGGTCCCTTCCCACCCAAACCATCCCACAATTCTCTGCCTAAAGCCACACAGGTTCCTGAAGTCATTCCAACTGGAATGTCCCACAGGCACAAGAACACTGAGTTTCTGTATTGCTGGGACCTTCTGAAGCATCTGGCTGGTCCTGCTGAGCAGCAGCCCCAGGAAGGCTCCTTGGGAAGGCAGATGGAGTGTGGTGAGCAGCCCTGCAGGACCTCAAGCTCCCCAGAGAGGAGACAGGTCAGCCTGATGAACACAACATCCCACATTCCCCTTCTAGGTCAGGGGTTTTTTTTCCCCCCTCATGATACTCCAGAAAGCTCAATTTAAATATCCCAGAGGAGAAAAGGGTGGACAAAGTGTGTGAGCAGCAGGTCAGCATGTCTCCCTCATCCCTCCTGGGCCAAGGCAAACACTGAGCAGCAGCCAGCCCTGCCCTCAGCTTCACAGGGGGCTTTAGGGACCAAGGAATAACTAACAACCCACTTTCCAGGACTGTTTTCTCTTCCAACTCAAGCCCACGAGTCATTATCACTGAAGGATTTGAGCCAAAAGACACAACAACCATTTGGGGAAACCATTCTTGGCAGGATGGGAGAGTTACCAGCTCAGAGTGGTCCTGCTCCCTGAAGTGGGAAGTCATAAAGCAGACACCACTCAGACATGCCAGAGCCTTTCAAAAAGTCACATCTCATGGTCCAGGAGCATCTGGAGGGGAGGGGAAGGGCCCAACAGGCTTCCTGGTCACTTTAATTGGCACCAAGATAAGTGGGGGAGATGCTGATTTAGTTTTAATCACTACAATGGGTGTTGTTTTCACTCCTGGCAAATAATTCCTGAATCAGAGGCTCCAGGAGCCTCAAGACTCCAAGAGGGAACTGCAAAAGGGTTGGGTTTTGTTCCCCAAAAGCTCAGGGACTTCTGGAGGCAGGTAAGGCTAAGGAAGAGCCCCATGATTTACAAAAGAAGGGAGGCAAAGCTGGTGAGGGAGGGTCAATTGTCCCTGCTCCAGAGTGAAGCTGAAAGGAAACTTAATAAACCTGTGTGAACACAAGCCCAGGTCTCTGCTGAGATCACAGAGCATCATTTGTCATAGGATCATGGGATGGTTTGGGTGGGAAAGGACCTGAAAGCTCATCCAGATCCAACCCCCCTGCATGGGCAGGGACACCTCCCACCAGCCCAGGCTGCTCCAAGCCCCATCCAACCTGCCCTTCAACACCCCCAGGGATGGGGCAGCCACAGCTTCCCTGGGCAACCTGGGCCAGGCTCTCCCCACCCTCACACCAAAGAATTTCCTACCAATACTTAAATCCCCCTTCTTTCAGCTTGAATCCATTCCCTCATCTCTGTCAGGATCCTGGAAGGATCAGGGGGGGCTCCTTGAGGGGAAAGAACTGCAAAAACCTTCAGCAACCTCCCTTTTGATCCCAATTCCACCTGCAGAAGTGAATCCCAGAGGAATCCTCCAGGAGATCAAAGGAGCAGCAGGGCTTCAGGAGACAACCCTGCAGTGTGCCCTGCCAGCCACAGCTTTCCCTTCAGGTCATGTTACCATCCCCTCCAAAATACTGACACATCCAGGCATTAAGGGACAAAGCTCTCCCAGTGTCTGCACAGCCCCACAAATCAAACCTTCCAGACTCAGAGCTCTTGTTTATTGAGGTGCTGAAGAGAAACTATTCAGACTTCAGTCACCACCTCAGGAAAAGCAGGATCCAGTGGAATTTCAACATGGTGTTTCCAGGAGGAACAGCAGCTCAGGTACAATGGGGGAACTTCAGGAGCCCAGTGTGCCCATGGAGCCCACCCAGCACTGGGGGTCCAAGGAGCCAAAGCCAGATCTCCTTGGGCAGGAGGGACAGTTGTGGCACTAGGAGGTGAGACAAGACCAGTCTAGAGGATGGATAAAGCAGCACAGAAAGTCTTACACCAGTTCTTTCCCTCCCCAGCACCACAGGCACCTGAAATCCCCTCTCCTTAGCTCCAGGGTGTTAGTTGTGCTGCATCTGTAACCAGAGCAAACTGACTCCTCAGTGAGGAGTGAGAGGACAAGGGGGGATGGATGGAAACTGGGAGAGGGAGCTGGAGGTTGGAGATGAGGAGGGAATTCTTTGGTGTGAGGGTGGTGAGAGCCTGGCCCAGGTTGGGCAGGGAAGCTGTGGCTGCCCCATCCCTGGGGGTGTTGAAGGGCAGGTTGGATGGGGCTTGGAGCAGCCTGGGCTGGTGGGAGGTGTCCCTGCCCATGCAGGGGGTTGGATCTGGATGAGCTTTCAGGTCCCTTCCCACCCAAACCATCCCTTAATTCTATGAAGTCACTTAAAGAGCATTTAAAGCAGGGGCAGGATCAGACAGGAGGTCACTACAAACACACATCTTGGGCACCTTCCTTAGAAGCCACAAACCCACGATTGCAGAAGGAAAAGATGGCATTAAACCCACTCCTGCTGCTGTGCCCAGGACCTGAACACATTTTTAACTCTGGTCTCAAAAGCTGCACATGCTGAACAAGCCTTAGATTTGAGAGACAGGAGGTTTGTGCTGGCTCCTCCCTTGCCTGCAGGGATCCATCCTCCCTCATCCTCCCTTTAATTGCCTCCAGACTTTATTAATAGTGATGTCATCCTCCAAGTCTATATTTTGGTCTCTCCATTCAAAAGAATCCAAGACAGAAGATTAAAAACCTATTGAATCAAGTCAGTGGAAAAGCCAGGAAAACCCTCCAGGTCTCCTGGCTCCCCATCCTTCATTCAGGCCACGAGATGAGTCTCCAGCACCACATTCACATGTAATTTAAGGCTTCAAGACATGCTCCTGCTGCCTGCTGACTCAGCCCTTTTTTCCCAACTCCAGCTTTAAGTCTGGAGGAAGTCTGGAGTCTGGAAAGGAAGAGATGGAAGGAAGGCTTGAGGAAATGGGCAAGTGTCCTTACAAAACCACACTGAGCTTCAGAGACTTGACCAGGTGAATCTAACAGGCTGGTCTTCTCCCCATACCAAAAGCTTGAGTCCTACCAGCAAGAAGCCCTTGAATTTCACCAAATCAGCTCAGACCAACCCAGAAACACCAGCTTTCCTGCTCCCATCCTCATCCAGACACCAAAAGGAAACTCTGCAGTGACTGACTTGAGTCTGTTGGGGCTGGAGAAGCAGCAGTGCCCTGTTTGCTTCAGGAGGAAGAGTCACTCTCAGCCAGGAGAGCCAAACATCTGCTCCTCAACCACTTGAAATGCTACAGCCTGGCTCCTACATCCTGCCATTCCAGCAAACTGGATGGTGTCCTCCTTCAATCACCCTAAAGACACAGGCATTGTCCTCCCTACATCACATCCACATTCCCCTTCAATCCTGGGGCTTTTTCCAAGCTGCTAAAAACATCCCTGGAGGTTTTTCCCAAAGACCTCACCCCTGCCCCTCCTGCCCCAGCACTCACACTGGATCAGACTGGAGAACAGCCCATCTGAGTTCTCTTCCCACCTCCCTGAAGGATCCAATTTCCTATTTGAACCCATTTTTGGGGGTTGCTTTTCAACATCACCCTGCACTTACAACTAAGATCTCAAGACACCCATTCCTGCAGCAACAAGGACCCAGCACATCCCCTTGGGAGAAGCAGTTTCTCCTTGTCAAGGCTTTGCTAATATTTCATTCTTTAAACTCTTCTCCAGCTCCAACCAAGGAAACTCCACCAGTGGGGGTGGCTCAGAGGAATATTAAAGGAGGAGCCCTCAAGCAATTCTTTCCAGCCCCTACTCAGCACAAATTGAAAGCACTGCAATGTCATCTTGATGAGCTGATTGTAGAGATGATGAAGGATCTTCCTCTAATCTAAACTATCCCAGCCCTTAGATCTTGTCTTGACCTCCCACGCAGCAACATCTGTTTAATTGAAACAACAAAACTGACTCTCAAAGAAGGCCAAGCTCTTTGTGTGGATGGGGAAGGATCAGGACTCAACCTGGGCTGGGTTAAATCCAGACAAACATCCACCCTCTTTTCTTCTGTGCTGCAGCTTTTCAGGTGGATCCCACTGCAAACTACTGATGGGGCTGCTTGGGAAGGGGCTGGGAAAGCCAAAGCAGTGACCACAGAGAAGTTTCTCAACTCCCAACTATTTTGCAGTGGGAAGGAAACATCTGCCTTGAAGCCTTTTCCTCTGAAAAAAACCCAGAGGGGAGTTTTCAAGCTGCTGCTGGAGCTGAACTGGGAACATTGACCCAGTGCTGGGGGCATGTGGGTCACATTCTGGTCTAATTCAAGCAGACTGGAATAAGAAAATCACACCATGGGCTTTGCCTGAAGCTGGAAAATAGTTTATAGGTCTTTTTTTCTCCATCATTCTTGCATGTCTGTGAGCAAGAAAGGGGAGGAAAAATCCTTCCCTGGGTCACAACA